GTACCGGCTTGTCCTTTTTAATGGTGGACTCAGCCGTCTTCAACATGTTTAATAATCCTGGAAGATCAGTTTCCATATTATGCATGTTGTAGTTAACGACAAAGTTATCGAATGACGCTGGCAGAGATTGCAACAATAAATCCACATAGAGTTCATTATCCATAATGACTCCAAGTGATTCGAGTCTTTCCACAAGAGCTATCATCTTCAGTCCATGATCATGAACTGAAGAGCCCTCGGTCATACGACACCTGAAAAGCTCTTTAGATATCTGATATCTAATTTGTCGCGTCCGATCACCATACAACTCTTGCAGGTGAGTTAGGATTTCAGAAGCATTATTCAGTAATTCGTTCTGTCTCTGTAGCTCATTAGACATTGATGCTAGCATGTAGCACCGAGCTTGGAGATTGTCATCAACATGACGCAAGTAGGCTCCATACTCTTCAGCAGTCTGATCCTCCGGTGGAGGAGGAGGAGCTGTTTCCAAAACATACTCTCGCTTCTCAGACTGAAGAACAATCTTTAGGTTCCTCAACCAATCATTGAAGTTGGGACCAGTTAATTTATTATGATCAAGGATACTCGCGATTGGATTCTTAGCCATTTTAGTAGTTTGATCTACAAAAATAACAAACGAAGCAGAAAATAATTAGACTATGGAATTTATATTCATTTAATATTAGGTCTTTAACATTAAATGTCTCCCACTAATTTAATTAGAACCTCATTATAATTATGAAAATCATTATTTTCATAGTGGGCTTGAAGTCCAATAAAAATATTTCATGTCCCAATTTTATGATGCCACCATGAAACAATTTTATCGGTAGTCAACTTTTTGACAATTGTATCTCTATACAACCTTCAAGATGTTTTGCCTCACCTTTCCTTATATACCTCAATTTTATGACTCCATATATATTACTCGGTGTCAAATCAAACCCATCAAAACTTTCATGATAACGGCCCACCAGAGTGTCCCACGACTCATGGCCAACACAAAGAGGAATCCGTCTCACGAATATCAATATATTTAATAGAGTTCACAGCTTTCGACATAGAATCATCCCACGACTCGTGGCCAATGATAAAACATCGTAGCATCTCATGTCATCTACTTTTGATGGAAGGCCTGGATTAATAAGTTCCAACTTATTTTTATCCATTATTGATTTGATATGGAATTAATCAAATTAATCCGTTTGGGTTCCTTGATCTCATCGATTACCATCTTTACGTTTATTTACCAGTTTCAGTCATCTAATGAAACGAAAGCGTAAATAAACCTAACATACATCTAATGCATGGTGGGATGATCATGTCCTTTCCTATTCGATCCATTCGAGCCAAAATGGATCTATGCATATGTACGTGATAAAACAAATAGTAGAACTACTTCTATTACATTTATTCTATCTACCCGTACAAGCACAGGCCTTCGAGATTACAACTTGTAAAATTACCCACACATGCGTGGGCCTTTGTCATCGAACGGTCTCCACCTTGATCTAATCTCTAACGATACAAAATTTAAAATTTTACAAATTTCATCTCAAGAGACTCGCAGGTCTCGATAAATTACATTTCTTCAATCATATTGAAAACATAATTAAACATCCATTCATTCATTCAATCATATTGAAAATGAAAACATCCATTCAAACATAATGAATATGAGGCTCATGATCATCCCTAAAACATTCATCTAATGAAATGAACATAAAATATCAATTTATGAGTCACACGACTCGTGTGAGGGTCACACGACCCGTGTGATCTTATCACACGACTCGTGTGAAAAATACGAATTGAAAATCAAAATTTTTCCCAGACTCACACGACTCGTGTGGCTCGTCACACGACTCGTGTGAGCTCACACGACTCGTGTGACAAGGTCACACGACTCGTGTGAAAATCACGAAGCTAAAATCAAAATTTTTCTTCATGCCACACGACTCGTGTGACAAGGTCACACGACTCGTGTGGCTTAAAAACGATTTTTAATTTTATAATTAATATTTTTATCATATAAAAAATTAATTATATTGCTTATCTCATAAGTCTTAACAAATCAAAATCTGTTTTAAAGACGATAACCGTGGCTCTGATACCACTGTTGGGTTCGATAGTACCGTACGGGCTGTACGCAGCGGAATTTAAAATTTTTAAAGTAAGTATTTATCGTATAAATACAACACCCGTACATACTAATTGCGAATTAACTGATCGTCATCTTTAAAACATGCATCATATACAAATTTTGATTTGTTACTATAAAGTAAATACTAGTAAAAATATTTACCGAATGTCTTGAACTCCTTCACTATTGATGATGGATGAGGGAATCGGTTCCCGGTTGTAACTTCAACGACTTGAGGTTACTCGCTAGAGGAATCCAAGTGTCTTCCCTCTAAACGTATCCACCCTATGAAGCCCGGTTCCGACGACTTTCCTTCGCTAGTAGAAAAGACTCGGTTTTCTTGTATAGGAATATTTATGAATTTTATTTGGGAATTTTAAGAACTCTTTCTTGAAGTTTTATGAAGAACACTTTCTTCTCTTTCTAACACTTAGAAATTTAGGATCAAAAACTTCACTTAAATGCAAAACCATTTTGCACATATTTATACTAAACATTTTAGCATAAAATAATCAACATTTAGTAATATTAAATAAAATCAAATTTTATTTAAATAGTATTTACTAACTTTTGACTTTGAAAATAATAAGATATGTTAAGTAGTTCAAACAACCATCAACAACCATTTTATTATAATCATATTTATTATTTTAATCCTTAAATCATATTTAAAGATATAAATAATAATTGGATAATAAATCTTGAGAATCTTTCTCAAGACTTTATTATTATATCATTTTCCCAATATTATAATAATCATATTATTATTATTTTGGATTTTTGAAATTTAAAATCCTATTTTAAAATTCAACTTTATTAATTTAGTAATTACCTTAATTACTAAAGTAATATCCAAAATGTAATTAATCAATCTTATTGATTAATATATTCCTTTAATTGATATCTAATCAAATTAGATATTTATCAATTAATTCTAACCATTAGAAATACAATCTTTACCTTTGTTCATAATTAGTGTGACCTTTTAGGTTCACCTTAATACTAGTAGTGGGTTTACAACACTTTGTAATTTGAGTTAAATCTTATTAACTCTTATTCATGAATTAACCCTTTAATTTATGAACCCACATATCATGGTAACACCTAGCAAGTAGCATGAATCTAGTATTAAGTGAATAGCGAGTAAACCTATTCCGATTACAACTCCATACATGTAAAATCCTTTCGACATCTAATTTCCCGATTAAGTCTTGGGTATGATTTTGTCGAAACCCAAATTGACTTAATAACTATGATTCTATTTCATGTTTATTAACCCGGTTATGAATCACTATTCATCTCTGCCTTGGCCAAGGACTTTGGATTAATAACTATGAAACACATAGGAAATTCACTTATCTTCATAAGTGTCGAATCCTTTATTGGCCACTAACAAACTTCCATACATATCAACATAATACCCAACTTATCCCTTTAAACGATAGTGCTAGCTACCAAAAGGATAAATCAAAGTAGAATGTAATATGCACAAAGTTACCATTGTGCCTCAAGTCTTAGGATTAGTCATGTACTATTGTAACATGAAAATTCTTATTCGACTGAATAAATTCTTCATTAAGAATTTTCATACGGTCATGTTCAGTGAACTTGTTCTCTAACAAGCACCCACATAAATGTACTTACGTCTTACGCTAATGTTGATGGAATGCAACATTCTTGTCCAACAAGCATACAAACTATGTGCAAGTCTTTTATGGATTATTCGATATCCCATCTCGAAACATCCATCGACTTGGAACTGTATTTAAGATCACGGCTTTCAAGGTATGTTCCATGATCACCATCTCTATGCGCAACCATACCTTATAACCATAAGTGATCTAGGGATTTTATCTTAAGTGCAATTATAAGATAAATGCTTTCTCTTAAGATAAAGAAATGCCTTATTCATAATATAATTTCAATAGACTGTATTTACAAGTAGAATACGTCCAATTAGATTGGAACGCCGGGTACCCTACTCTAACAAAGACGACACCACACGGGGACAATAGGCGTCTCCGTCTTCGGGTTAAACCCGGCATGATACTTGAATACCCTAGCTGGGCATCCACACAGATGAATCGAGGTCTTAAGCCATACCTCGTTATAGTCCTCGAGAAGGTGAAAGGTGACTAGGAGGTGATTGAAATTATACCACTTAGACGGTACTCTACCCTTAAAACCCAATTTACCTAATCCAGCAGATATATCGCGGGGGGCAGGGATAGCATAAGTAAACTTAAACACTAGGGTAGCTAACTTACCTGCTAGAGTGTCAGATTCGGCTTCAGTGAATTGGGCCTTCACCTTGTTTCCCTCCAAACGGATAATGGTTCCGCAAGCATGTTCGTAACCTCCGTCAAAGGTAAAATCCTTGTCGTCAGTCGCGAGGCGCCCGTGCCACCATCTCTCCTCCCCGTAATGGCCTCTCGGAAGGATAGCGGCCCGGTGGAGGGGCCCGGAAGAGACCCGGCTGCAGCGGGGTTAGCCGTGGGTGGGCCCGTCGGCGATATCTCGATCGAAGGAGGTCCGGTAAGGTGTGCCGTGGATGTCATGTTTGGACCCACAACCTCAACACCGTCTTCTCGTTGATGCATGACGCCCGGTTCAGCATTTCTGGCCGCAAGAGTGGCAGTTCCGGCAAGTTGGTTGGTCGGAGGAGGTGTGCTTAGTCGGGGACCAAGAATTTCAGCCCTAGGGTCCGATTTAGGGCCAGCTCCGGTTACAACGCTTGCCGGCTGAAGCTTTCCGGTGACCCTACCGGCGCCGTCGCCAGCGTCTGTGTCGCCGTTAGTTGTGTGAAGATTGGCTGCCGATTGGACTGTAACAGCAACTTGGCAGGCGACGGGCTGGGATGTGGGTTGCGACGGCGGCGCTGGCGCCGGCAAAGGGAAGATGGATGACGTCTGTGAGTTGGGTGTTGTCGACCTGTTGGAAGGTGACGGCCTTGGTCGGTTTTGTAGGAATGGTGGGCTGGGATGTTGTGTTTAGAGTGGAGACGGGCTGGGAGGTATTGGTGGTGTTGGGCTGAGTTTGAGGGTGGGTGGGCTAAAGTTTAGATTGGTTGATGGGAGCAGGCCCATAGAGGGGGAGGCCCAACGTAGGGCTATGATGGAGTATGGGCTGGGAGGTTGGTTGAGAAGTGTTTAAAATGTTGTTGGTTTGAGCCTGACAGGTAGAGGGTTGATCGGGCCCGAGAAGCGGTAGGCCCAAAAAAGGGCCAGGTTGATTTTCAGACGGGCTGAGTGGTTGTGTGCTCAATTGGGCCTGGAACTGGGTAGGTTGAGTATTGTTTGTGGGCTTGGATGGCCCAATGTTTTGGCTATTTTCTCTTAGCTCAGGAATGGTTTCCATACCAAACCCTACGTGGCCATGGGATAATTGGAGAGAAAAGCTGAGGGATTTTTTACCATGTGATAGTGAAGGGGTGGCAGCGGCGGCACTCTTCTTCTCCAGCGAGCCATCTTCCGGCAGTGGCGGAGCGTATGACCCGAAGACGAGCGGCCGGATTTCTGTTTTTTGGCCAAAGGAGGACGCCGACCGATCTGAGTTTGCTCCGAAGGATGAAGCCGAGAGTCCCTGTGACATGATTTTTCCACCAAGATGCTCGGCCCCTTTTATTATTTCTCCTTCTTCTATGTTCTCCTTTTTACCTTTTTCCATTTTGAAATTCTCGTTTTTTTCGAGAAAAGCTGAGACAGCCTCTCGAAAATCCGGCCGTGACAAGAAAATTTCTAGTTCTGAAGCTTGGATGGAGGAAGAACATTGTCTATTTGTCGGATGAGACATGTTTGTACAGAAACTTGAGATTAGGGGAATAAAGGATTAAAGAATGGTTTAAAGAGAGGTTAAAGATGCAGAAAGTATCAAGAATTAAAATTGTAGGTTTTATGTGGTGGCTGGAGGCCGGCCGGCGCCAGCGCCGACTTGCCGGGGCAATCAGAAACTGGGTAAAAAAGATTGAATCTGGGAAGAAAATTGAAATGAGGAAAATGGGTTTGTAGAGAGGGAAAGTTAGAGAGAAGGGAGAGCATTTGCTAGGTTATTTCTTTCTTGCTGCTAGGTCTGTAGTTGCTAGGTTAGTTGTGTTTTATTGCTAGGTTAGTTGTCTGATGCTGTTAGGTTGGTTGTATTTTGTTGCTAGGTTATTTCTTTCTTGCTGCTAGGTTAGTTGTCTGATGTTGCTAGGTTAGTTGTCTTTTGTTGCTAGATTACTTATTTCTTGCTGCTAGGTTAGTTGTCAACGGGTCAACGCCGGAAGTCAACAGTCAACGCTGGAAGTCAACGATTTTCGCCGGAAGTCAACGCCGGAGTCAACTAATAATTATTTTAATATTTAATTAATGTATATTTTAATTGATTTTGATCTAGACAAAATGAGTGACTAAGATAGAGTCTCACGTACTCATTTTAAGGAGTGGTCTTATTGGATCCGTCCCCTATATATATATATATATATATAAATAGTAAAATACAAACGGTGATAATATCAATTCAAATGCAACACACTAATTGGGATTTTCTTTCCTTGATAATATTAACCCTATTTAATAGATGTTACGGGAAACGATGGAGATGAGATATGAAGAGACACTGTGTATTAAATGGAGGGTTAAAAATGGAAAAATATGAACAAAATATCTAAAACGACATTTATTTTATCAATGATCAATTAAGCCAAAGTGACAAATAATAAAAATAGGAGGAAATATATATTATATATTTTAGTATGACACATATTACTTGTGCGACTTATATGTGTTATATTATAATAAATTTTCTACCTTATAACATATAACTACATTAAACATAAATATATTAATTGATAAATAATTTTATTTTCTAATTAATTTTAATAAATAATTTTATTATTATTATAAAAATAAATATAATTTATTTACTTTATATATACAATATGGATGTCAAATCGAAGCTCATCAAAAGATGATTAATTTGATATATTATATATGTAAAACCGATAAGAAATACAAAAGTTATCAACTTTTAAAATATATTTGCAATTCATTTGTTATAATAGGAAATGATATTAAAATACAATTAATACAAATATAAATTTATATCTAAGCCTAACTCCAAAGCATGATTTTTTGCCAAATAGAAATACGAAGCATGAGAGTTTGCCACGTAGGCTCAGCGCATTCTGAAATTATATATAGAGGGGATAAGATGGGGAAATTTTTATTATATGGCTCAATATTTAATTATTCTATCATATCAAGGCCCTAATCTATATATCTTTTTCAATACAAGATCTAAAATTTTATTTTATATATTCTTAATTGATGGCTCATATTTATCTTTTAACTCTTAAATTAAGGGTTATTACTAGAAATGTTATTTAACAGTTAAATTAAACATGATATTATTATTTTTCTTATTCTTTTTAAAGAATAGCAGNTTTTTTTTTTTTTCTGTTTACTCTCAAAACCTCCTATTGTAGTCCTCTAGATTTCAATCCACGGTGCTTCCCGTTCACTTTCGCTCTACATTCTTTAGCAAGGACTTCACATTCAGAGTCTTTTTTGCTGCGATATTTGCGTGGACAGGCCTTCCCTGCCTTGCTAGACGGACGGACGAGAGCGAGCAAAGGTAGACTTAGCTCACGTAAAACCTTCTGGAAATTGAAGCGCACAGTCTGTTTCACTTCAAATTTTTTAAGTCCTACCCAACGTGCTTTTGTTTGTTGGGTTATGAAGATAATGTATAGCTTTCAAATTTTTATTCAATTCTTGAGATGGATATTATGTAAATTAAATTGATGGAGGAGTACTCTTTTCTCCCTTGTTTCCCATGCACAAAATTATTTGTGTGATTGCGTACTTAATACAAGATTGCTTTTACTGAATTTAAAATTATTTTTATCTTGGATTAAGATGTTTGAGAGTAATTATTATATATATATTTTTTTAGCTGATGTCCATGCAAAACTCTTATAATGGTAATGTTGGTTCAACATTTTATATCAATGATAGAGATCCAGAGACCCAACTTGGCGAGCCATCACAAGATCAATTAGGTGATGCTAGTGATCTGTCGAGTGGACCCATAAAATCGTGCAGCTAGTTGAGAACAATAGGGGACTCGGAGTCTTATTCATCATATAGTGATAACGAAGTCAATCAAAATGTCATCAGATTGGGAACAAACAAATAACTTTTCGATTGGGACAACAATTCTCTTCCATTAATGATTTTTATGAGATGGTGAAAAGTTATGCTGTACATAATGGCTACGAGTTATCGTTTACGAGGAAAGATAATAAAAGGTGTATGGCCAAATGCTTGGATGATTGTCCATGGCTAATTTTTTGCTCGAAAGTTGGTCATCTTGAAACTAATGAGGTGAAGACATACTATGAAGAACATAACTGTAAGGAAGGAAGAATGGAAGCTAGGTTCATACATGGCAAATGGCTGAGCAAAAAAGTGGCTGGAGACTTGAGTAAATTTCCGAATATGACTGAACTGGAGTTGCAAGACCATGTTGCTGAGAAGTTCAATGTGAAAATCAGCACATCTAAAGCATACAGAGTTAGAAACCTCGCCCTTCATTCTATCGACAGCAATCAAGCTGACAAATATGCGTAATTATCGAGAGGAACTATTGAGAACTAATCATGGAACTACCTTTGAAATTTCAGCTCCAGGAAATCCTTCTCGATTTGAAAGACTTTATATATGCATCGATGCATGTGAAAAGGGATTTTTATCGGGATGTCGCCCGTTGATTGCTATTGATGGATGCTTCCTAAAGGGATATCATCGGGGCCAAATTTTGTCGGTCGTAGCTCAAGATGGGAATAACAGTCTATTACTTATAGCTTTTGGTGTAGTTCCTTTAGAGTCCAAAGATATGTGGTCTTGGTTTTTGCATAACTTATTGAAAGTAGACATGTCAAAACGGGCTGACGGGACAGGCCAGCCCGCAGCCCGTTGAAACCCGCCGTTTGGCGGGGCGGGGCAGGCCAGCCTGCCATCCTGGCGGGTCTTCGAAATGCCAGCCCAGCCCACCCCCGCCACGGGCCGTGGGCTAGGAGGGCTGGCCCGCTAAAAAAAAGGCAATGGAGCATGGTAAAATTGAGAGATTATGAGGATGGGCGAGGCTGGGCGGAGAAGGAGAATGAGCGGACGGAAAAAACAAGCAGATTGGGAGGAAGAGGAGATTAGCGAACCTGCTAGGAGACCAAACATTTGTAAAGTTTTTTTGGGAGTTTTTTATTCTAGAAAAAAAATCTTGTGAGTGTTATGTGCTATGAAAAATTTGTATGTGTGGCTTGAATTCGCAAAAGAAAGAAATAAAAAAAAAAGGAGGAACTCATGAGGGCGCAAGGAAGAAGATGCAGAGAAGAAGTCAGATTGTGTGTATTGTGTAGCGTGGGTCCCAATATGTGTTTATTTAATTTAATGAGTGAGGATTGAGGAATATTTTTTTATTTATTTATTTTGTTTCGGCTAATATGTTAAAGAAAAGTTGGGCTGGGCTAGAGAATAGGAGAAGTTGAGAGGTTTTGAGTAAGTGGGCCAAAGAAGAAAATGGGCTATTTAATATATTTAAGGTAATTGTATACATTTGTTAAAAAAGGCAGGCCAGCCCGCGGCCCGCTAGGCCCGCCCCGCCAAAGCCCGACCCACCGTTTTGGCGGGGCGGGGCGGGGCGGCCCACGGGCCTCAGCCCGTTTTGACAAGTCTAATTGAAAGACATAGGAGATATTTCTCCCCGTGGGGAAAAATGGACATTTATTTCAGACTAAGGGTCGGTAAGTCTTTGTACTTTTGTTTATAACTTTCTTTTTAATTGTATGAAGATTTTGATTAAGTATTTTTTTAAATTGTATTAAGATAATGAATAAGTATGTTTTTTAAAAACTTATATCATTTTCCAAAAACTAATCATAATCATAATCAGTTGTTTTTAATTTTTCTAGTTCTAAAAAGATGATTTTATTACAGATGTTTGTAAATTTTTTTAGTTCCAACAATTTAATTTTGATTACTTTCATTGGTAGGCTCTTAATGATGTTTATCCATCAAAATACAACAGGTTATGTGTTTTGCACTTGTTTCGAAATTTTCATAAGAAATGGAAGTATAGACAAACTGGAAATATCTTTTGGGCAGCAGTAAATGCCACCACCATCTTCGATTATGATATTCAAATGAATCAAATGCAACAAATTTGTTTTGAGGCTTGGAAACATTTAACTAAAATTGGTATGGAGAGGTGGAGCAAAGCAGGATTTCAATCACATGTCAAGACCACTGCAATTACGAGCAACATAGTTGAGTGTTTCAATAGTTCAATTTTAAAATATCGTGGTGGTTGGAATTATTTCATTAATTAAGGGTATACGTATTCAGAGAATGAGAAAGATGTTTGAAAAGGGTGAAAAAATGAGGAAAAATCATTGTGCAATATGCCCAGATGTCCTAAAAAAGCTTAATGCTTCAATTATGGATAGCAAAATTTGGATAGCAATTCCATGTGGAGATTTGCATCGATCCGTCTTTGAGGTATCCCGTCGGCATGAAAAGTTTGTTGTGAACCTTAAGCGACATACATGTACTTGTAGAATATGGGACATATCGGGCATTCCTTGCAAGCATGCCATAGCTGCAGTAGATAACATTGGTGGAAAGCATGAAGATTTTGTAAGTGAGTACTTCAAAAAAGAGAACTTTTTGAAGACATATGGTTATTGCATATATCATATGACAGGTCCTCACTTTTGGCCTAAAAGTGATCGCGAACCTATTTTACCCCCTCGTTATACAAGGCCTGCTGGTAGACAGAAGAAATTGAGAGGAAATGACTCGATTGAAGATAAAAAAATCTCATAAAGCTAAAACAAAATACGGGCCAACAAAATGTAAAAATTGTGGCGATCTTGGTCATAACAAAAGAACTTGTAAAACTCCAGGGGATAACCAGGAGTTGAGCTTAAATTTTTTAGAACATTTATTTATTATATGTTGAGATTTAGTAATTAAGTTATACTTGGCAGGGAGAGCCATCAAGAGGAGCCGGTAGTCTACCAAAACATACTTTCCGTAATGAAGAGCATGTCGTTACACTAGATTGGGATCCCACAAGCTTAGTGTTAGAGTAGGGTACCCGGCGTTCCAATCTAATTGGACGTATTCTACTTGTAAATACAGTCTATTGGAATTATATTATGAATAANACGGGTGTTGTATTTATACGATAAATACTTACTTTAAAAATTTTAAATTCCGCTGCGTACAGCCCGTACGGTACTATCGAACCCAACACTTAGAACCGCAATTAGCATCATCCAATGGATAAGGGGTTGCAACAGACTGGAGTCCATCATTTTTATTTGGCTAGATTTTTTTTTTTTATTATTATTATGGTATGAACTGAACTTTGGTATGTTTTAATTTTTCTTCAATGAACAACTTATTGTTTATTACGTATGGTTTCTTATCAATAAACTAGTTTAAAATCGTTAACCGCTCAAATTATAATTAGTTTTTATTTTTGGAATAAGATTGACATATATGCATGTCTTGGAGAATTTATTCAATCATTAACTAAAATCTAATTTTTTTTTTTTTTTTTAATCATGAATGACTTGTATTTGTGTCATAAGTTGGTTGATTCTTGTGATGTTATGATGGCTCAGTATCTTGCAGCAGACAGGGTATGTTGAAGCAAATGAAGTACTGGAGATAAAGGATATTGCCATGTTTGTTGTGATCCCTTTTCTATAGTGAATGCACAATCAATCAATATTTTCATAGTTATGTGTCCTTTATTTTCTAAATTACTTTCTATTTTGTTTATCATTCTTGTGCTCTATTGCATAGAAAAATAGAAAATCTAAGTAAAAAGTGTTACAAGAAACTCCTTGAGGTTTGTATCTTCTCATCAAATTCCCCCTATTAAAGGTTGCATTTTAGGAAGGGTGGAAAATCCCCGTGGGTATTTGTAAACTTTGGAAAAAAAAAATTATATTTTTGTACCTAGATTGGTTCTCATAATCAGATTTGAGCACAAATATGCTTTAATATTTGCATGAGTCCCTTATTGATGAGTTGAAGCTTATTTCACAGGGCAAGTTGTGTAATGATGAACAAGGGAAAGCATATTGTAGGATTAGTCTCGACTCTTGATACCATTCTAAACATCCAATGCGCAGCGACCAAAACCTAACTGAAGCCTCTTGTACTCTCCTCCAGTGTAAACTAGCCGACTAGCTTTTGATGGGTTAAAATCATCACTCGTATAGCATATGTTCGTATATTCACAGTGAGTGTGGTCAAATTTAAAATTCCTTTCCAAGACTTATAAATTTATTCAGATGCAAGTTTGGCATATGTATGCAATATGTTTACAATTAAGTTCCCCTTTACAAGTCCTCCAAGTTTGTTTTTTCATCTTTGAAACTTCAAGCTGTATATGTATAATAACCCTCTACCAATTTACCCAACACAAATTCCATAACAAAATTACACCAGAAAGAATAATAAAACCACCCACACATATACAACATATGTACAGTCAAGAGCCACCATTAATTTGAAACCAAAGTAAAAAATGTGGATACAAAAAAGAAGATATAGAAAGAAGTCTTAATTAACAAAGCAACAATGCACTTGCATATTACAAATCATAAATGAAGAAAATAACTAAGCCTAAAATAGATATGAAAAACAACAAAGCAAATTTCCCAAACACATATACTTGTTTTAAGGCCCAACTTCATATACACTCTCATCTCCAAAATGTGAAACGACAATACCCTAGTTTTGCAAAAGTTTAACCGCCCAGTACAAAAGCATCGGATCAATCCCGTTGGGTCCGGCAACCGTGGGAAGCTCCCACAACACGGCCCGCCCGTCGCCCCCTGCGGAGCATATAAGCCTCAGCTTTGCGGGGGCCACGAGATGGCATTCACGCTGCCTATGTTCCTCTCCAGCACGGCCACTGGCACGGTGGCAACCGAATATCCAAAATCATGACTTTATTGTTGTCCATCAAGACAAATTAAAACTAAAAATTACGAAACATGGCAAAATAAATTGCAATTCGAAGTTCAGATCTCATGAAGTGAAACACATCGCTCGCTGCAATTTCCGTAAGGCTTTACATGAGCTAATCCTTCCTTTGATCGCAATCGTAGGTTTGAGAGTAAAGTGGATTGGAATTGAGAGGACTAAGGTTTTGAGAGAGAGAGAAAGAGAACTGTTCAAATGAGAAAAAGAGAATAACTATTCTTCTGCTATTGTTTTTAAAAAAAATAAGAAAAATATTAATATCATGTTTAATTTAACTGTTAAGTAATAGTGTTAGTAATAAGCCTTAATTAAGAGTTAAAAAATTAAATATGCGCCCTCAATTAAGAATATATAAAATTTGAGATCTTGTATTGAAAAAGATATAAATTAGGGCCTTAATATGATAGTATACATAAAAGTTGAGCCCTGTAATAGAATTTTCCCAAATAAGATGTAGTGTGGTCATATACAAACCGCGTTTAACTCGTATCTCCCTTATAAATATAACATGTATTATTGTTTGTCAACCAATGTTGTAAACTATAATTGAAGTTATAGCATTGCTCGTAAAATTTACTCTGATTTTAGTAATAGTAGGCGGGGTGTTACATGTTATGAACTAAATATACATCATTAATGAACTAAATATGCACCATGTATATATTTAATTTAAATATATCAAATATGCACTATGGATGAACTAAATATGCATGTCGTATGAACTAAATATGCAACCATATGCATCATGTATATATTTAATTTAAATATAAAAAAGATGCACTATAGATGAACTAATTACGCATTTCGTATGAACTAAATATGCATCATGTATACATTTAATTTAAATATAACAAATATGCACTATGAATGAGCTAATTACGCATTTCGTATGAACAAAAATATGTATCATGTATATATTTGATTTAAATATAATAAATATGCACTATTGATGAACTAAATATGCATTTCGTATGAATTAAATACGCATCATGTATATATTTATTGTACATATAACAAATATGCACTATAGATGAACTAAATATGCATCATGAATAAACTAAATATGCATCATGTATATATTTAATTTAAATATAAAAAATATGCACTATACATAAACTAAATATGCATTTCTTATTAATTAAATATGCATCATGTATATATATATAATTAATTTAAATGTAATAAATATGCACTATGATGAACTAAATATGCATTTCCTATTACCTAAATATGCATAACGAATTAACTAAATATGCATTATATATTACATTAATTATATAATAATAAACCAAAAAAATTATAATATTATATTAATTATATAATAAATATTCAACAATAATATCAACTAAGTATGTATTGTTTATATCTAAAATATGAATTATGTATTATATAAATTTGCACAAGAAATAGATTAAATGTGCATGAATAATATGATATAAAAATTCAAGGGTCATATTGCAGTTATTCAAACTTTAAATTGATTACAAATCGTACCCCAGGACTAAATTGTAAGACTTTATAATTTTCTGAAATTTCAGTTTAACCACCAAAAATTGTCAAATTTCCAAAATCAATCCTTGCCCCAAAATCTGATATCCCTAGCGTTCCTCGCCCTCCATCCGCCTCCATCGAAAATCACGCGCAGGCTGGCAGATCTCCCTAGCCGCCGTCGTGGTCCCAGTCGCCAACAACCTCATCCAGCATGGCCACAACGCGGAATCCACCAAGTACCTCCTCCGAAGAATCAGAGGCACAAACAATGTCGAGGTCTAGAACATAGCTGTTGTTTCTGACATGAGATCGTCGGAACTCACAGGAGATTTTGCAGAACAGATTGTTGTTGTTTTTGAGATGTTCTCGAGTTTGGTAGTCCTTGAACAGAGGCTGGAACTCCTGCGGACTTGGGTCAATGCCGGAGATCGGGTCATCGAACAGAGGCTAGTACTCCAGCGAGTTGAGGAAGGTTTCGTCCGTGAACAGCCGGAAAAATGGGGACATAGCAAGGTGGTATTTTCTGGCTGTTCAACAGCGGCCTACAATAAATTATTAATTCATTTTTGTATATTACTAATTTAAATATAATAATTATATTTTTTATCATTTAATTAATGTATAATTTAATTTATTAATGTGAGTCTTTGATCTACCCAAAATGAATCGCTAGAATGGAGTCACATAAAATTATTTAAACTTCTGGGCTAATTTAAAAGCAAAACAAACAAAAACAGAAGAAACCCACCTCGCACAAACCATACAACAAACAATGGGGAGAATTATTAAGAAAAATCGCAGCCACTGAACCCCCAATTGATTTTTCACACGCAAAAATCGACGGTTGAAGAAACCCTTTCGGGAGGAGGGAAAAAGAGGATGAGGAATCTTTCATATCACGAAAGAAACTCGAGAAATTGTACAGAAAATCCGAGAAAGATAGATTAAGAAATGGTCATCATGGAGACGGAGCACCCTAGAAGTATTAATGTTATATACTGAAAGTTTAGCTTTGGATGTTATTACACTTTTACCCTTTATGAATGAGAATCATGTTAGATTAAACAAATTCTTTGTTCTGTTATTTTGCACTTAGATAGAATGGGTCGTCATCGGGCTAACAGAAGATCATTCTATCAGATACTTGTGAAACAAGAAATGTGGTTCACAACCTAGATGGAAATGAACACCCCATCCGAAGGGTTGTAGTGTCAACAATACAGTTGGTCTTGATTGATTAGTTGCACTGCTACATTTATGTATTGAACAGGATCCCAGAGAGAGAAGTTCGTTTTTGTAATGCCCCGTTTGATTGTTGAATTTTTTAGAATTATTTATTATTATTATTATTATTATTATTATTATTATTATTATTATTATTATTTATCTTTATTGGTTGTTATTATTATTTGAATGCTAAAATTATTAAATGTCTAATATGATTTATTTGTCAAATTGCCTAATTGTCTATATCGTATTTTTGCTCGACATTTCTCGTTTAGACTTATTATTATTTAATTGGATATTCTCGTCTAATAATTTAATAAGTCACTTAATTTTTATTTATTATTAATCGTCATTCGAATCGATCGGAAACTCTCAATATCGCGTATATTTTATTTTCGGCCCAAAACGATTTATTTCTAGCCTATTTGTTTAATTATGGCCCTTTATTCTTTTAGTTGTAATTCCTAACTTAATTAAACAATTCCAACCCAATCTCTTTGGCCCTGATATTATTTCCAGCCCAAAAGAACTAATCTTGACCCATTTTCTCTATCTCCTCGTGCAAAATTGTTGAACGGTTCTTTCCCAAATCTCCCCGTATCTCTCTCTCTCTCTCGCGAATCCGCAGCATCGACGGTAGAAGTTCTCCCCAATTCTTTCGAGCAGTTGCAACAGATTTTAACGCATCCCCTTTATAATCGATCGAAGCCATCATACCCTTACCTCATATCCCCTCGATTGAGCAGCAAACCCACCTCCCTCAGAGAATTCCTTCGGCCAACGAGCTTCCAGCGGCGAGCCACCAACCATCGACGATCGAAGCTCCAGTTTCAAGACGACCCTCAACCTCCGACGTCGAGCCTCGATCCCGTTATCTCCTCGGGAAACTCCCTTCTGTAGCAGGCCGCTGGCGAGTCCTTTGACCCTCGCAATCCTCCTGTCGCCGCTTTCACCGGCAATTCACCATGGCAGCGCACCAAGAGCGGTGGTCCGTCCTTCGTCATCACCAAAGAAAGCCGACCGTCGGCGATTTCAAGCAGCAACCCGCCGGTTCGTCCTGTTCGCAGAAGTCCGCTCCGCCATAGGCCTGCAACCACCGCAAGCGACGGGACCAACGTCCGACGAGGCCAGGTCTCCGGCAACTTCCGGCCTCGATTCCTATCGGGCCGCGATGGTTTGCGAGCCCCGACTATCGTCCAGCAATTTCGAGCTCTCGACGATCGAGGTTTGTTTAGCCCCGTCCTCCGACAATGGCTGAAACGACCTTCGCGACCCCCGACAAACCCCGACGAGCTTTGGCGATTGAAGAACACCAATTTTCGGCAAGGGTAGAGCCGAACCTGACCCTCGTGCGGCTAAGACGAGTCGTGGATGACCAAAAATCAAACTCTTTATAATCGAGCAGTCGGGGTCCTCGAACATTGGCATCGCTCAGTAGTAGTCCCTTTTTCCGTTCAGCGAGCAGCCCCTTTCAGCCCCGATCGTGTTCATCGGGCAACTTACAAGTCCCATTCTCGTTGGGCAGCGGCAAAGTTGAGAGCCTCTAGCCTAACCAGAGCTTCTTTTTCTTGGTCAGCCATGTTCTAATTCGTGAGTGCAGGTATATGGCTGAGCTTTTGCTACCCTTAAAATGGCCAAGAATATTTGATTATGTGCTTGATATGGTGTGCTATGATTGTGCCCGGATGGCCGTGTGGTTGCCATATGATTGTTGAATGAGTCATATATGTTGTGTTGTGTTTTTGGTTGGGTTGATTTTTGTGACATGATATTTACTGCCCTCTTAGGTTAGCCTCTGTTAGGAAATTTTGACATTTTCAAATTTAATTATCTGAAACTTCGAAATCTGTATTTCGATGTCGTAAAAATTTTGAGGTATAAATCGGTTGTCATGGCCTTGTTTATCGCTTGTTTAAACTCAATATATTGATCTGCTTTCCCGAAGTTTTCAACCTCTGGATTGAGTATTCTAGCCTCTGTTCGTGAGCCTTTTTGCCTATTAGTGTTGAGCTATTTTTCCAAAAATATTACCCAGTAAACATATTGTATTTCCATGCATTTTTGGGTTGGAAACTGTGTATATTCTGAAGCTTTATTCGAAAATTTTTTTTAAGCAAATCCAGCCTCTAAATATTGAAGAACTTATTGATTTGCCATTGGTCAGTTGGAATTTGCACTATCCAGTATTTTGAACGTTGATGCCCAGTTCAATGATAAGATGATTTTAATAAATAATTGGAGTAAGTGCTTGCTGGGTGGAGTTTTAGCCGTTTATATATTTGGTTAGTATATGCTGCAAATATGAGATTTATGTTTGTTAATTTAATGCTTAGGTCTTGAATTAATTATTATTATTTTTAGCATACTGCTCAAATGTGTTATTGTTGAATTCATGCTGCCACTTTTTTTTCAATTTCCCGAGGTTAAGTGCATATTTTATTGGCCTTAAGAAATTGATAAGAATTATTAAGAATTGTGAAGCCTTTTTAGGGGTTATATCTTTTTCCTTGTTTTGACAAAGTTGTCGAGCCTCTGATTGTGGTAGTTTAAGGGCAAGTTAGTTATAAGAGTATTTTTGCCTTAATTGTAGGTGTTTGAGGAGTCGAGCCCTCGACCTACTTATCTGCTATTTCAGTGTGATATCCTATCTCGATTTTCAGGTGGGTTGTTATTCAAAAATTATCTATGCATATGTTTGATTTTAATCATGTTGCAAATTTGGTGTGATCTATGTATGAAAATGAACATGTAGCCTATCGATGTGAGCTGTTACGGCCGTCGGTACGGTTGTCCCCGTCGAGTTACGGTACGGTGCCCTTGTGTGGCAATCTCCTTTAAGTCCTGATATGGCCGTGCCCTTGTGAGGTACGTAAGCCATATGGAAGGCCGTGTCCGTTACAGTGGCACGTACTCCCGCCTTCGGGTAATGAATCCCCGTTCTGCGGCTAGAAATAGATGTGCACAGGAGTAAGGTTAAATGGTGTGATATTGATTAGGAGATGAGACGTGTTGTGATTATTGTTTATGTTCATGCTGCGACCATACCATTATTATGTTATTCCTATGCATAGTGTGAGTACGATATTTAACTGTACTCACTCCCACCTGCTCTTCACGGATGCAGGTTAAGCAGTTGGCGGGTGACGAGGCAAGGCGTGTGGGTGGTCTTGCCTGTTATTTATGTTTATTAAATTTCTTTCACATTTATGAACTCATTATGGTTTATTGGGTTATGTTTGAACTGGTTTGACTTTGGAAAAGTGTTGAACTGATTGAACTGTTGGAATGTACTTTTATTTTATTATTTTTGGATCTTGATAAACGTGCAGGTTCATTCTGATTTATTTTGGATAAATTGCTCTTGGTAAAATAAGTAGCGCCCATTGGATTTTAAACTTAAACGAGAAATGCGAAAAATTTACTCTGATTTTTATTAAATAAATTCGATTAATCTTTTAAAATAAAGTGGGGCGTTACAGTTTTATACTGATCATCGTAAACGAACTAAGCCTCGGTTAATTACTGCGTTCTCTTAACCCGTAATATATTAAACAGACATATATATGTAGTACATATTACTTTGATTCACTTGGGTGAGGTTCAGTTTGCTGGATTAATATTCCTACTGTCTTGGTTATATTACTGTATGTATGATGTGTTGTTAGGATATTTACGGTCACCATGTGTGTTAGTTTGATGATATCCCTGAATTCAGTTAGATAAATCGAGATATTGCTCTTACCACAAGTCGTACGGGCATAACACGGACCAATGCCGCAACTTGCTGTCTGAACTATTGAAGCTCATTGATAACGCACAGGTGAAAAGGTTCACGAAAAACAAAGAGGGTAAGAAGAGAGCCCACACAGAGGAATACCCAGACAATGAAGATGAACGAGAGGTGGAGCCAAACTTAAAAAGAGCAAGGGACCCACCCCAAGAAATATTAACCTCCGTGACATCTCGGAAGAGTACAAATCTTGTTCGAGACAGCGTTCCCTTCCTCGGCTGATCAATACAAGCCGAGGAGGCCCAACTGTGTCAAAAAGACAGGCGAAATCCTACGCCCGATGAGCGTACAACACCGAGCACTCAATCCAAAAGGCTGAGATCAGATCAGCCGCATTTTTCCAAACCAACCCGGTCACCTTCTCAGACGAGGATGCTACCCCTTTCGGTAACCCGCACTCTGACGCCTTGGTCATCACCACACCGATCTACTTTATACCAGTGTATCGCATCCTAGTGGACACCGGGGCCTACGCAAGAATCCTGTACCTAAAGACGTTTCTGAAGATGGGAATAGACATCAAAGAGCTACGTCCATGCAACGACTGAATTCAGGGTTTTGATGGCTAGACAACCATCCCCGAAGGAGAAATAACCTTACCTATCCAGATTGGAGGCAATGAACTGACTGGCAAGTCTATATTGGAAACATCCAAAGTTGTGAAACACGAGAATGAGTACAACACAATCTTGGGGAGACAAGCATTGTACAAACTCCAAGAAGCCGTCTCGATATTCCATTATTCTATCAAGTTCGCTACGCCCGAAAGAACCGAAATTCACTATGGCGATCAGAGGGAAGCCCGCGAATGCATCCTGGTGACGCCCTCATTGGAGATCCACGTAGCGGACGGAAGTGAATTGGCCGAACTGCATAACCAGAACGAAGTCGAGCTGGATCTGCGAGAACAGTTCAAAGACCGTAGGAGAAGACCCAGTAAGGAACCAATGAGAGACGAAGACGAGCTGGATCCGCATGAACAGTTCAAAGAAAAGTGATCGAGAGACCGAGCTGAACTGAGAGATGAGGTAGATTTAATCTACGTAGACAAACCGGCCCGCCAAAAACCCCTGCGGATCGACAAACATCTGAAGGATCCTGTTTAGGCCGAGCTCACCGAATTCCTAAAGGTGACCTCTGTCGCGTTCGCCTGGACACGTAAAGATATGATAGGAATCGACCCAAAGGTGGCGTGTCACAGGCTCAATTTGGATATGACGGCTAAACTGGTCGTGCAGAAAAGGCGCAAGATAGCCCCAGACCGCCAACAAGCGTTGGAGGAAGAAGTGACGAAGCTCATCAAGAATCAATTCATCCGTGAAGTTAGATATCCTATCTGGGTGTCGAACCCAGTCTTGGTAAAAAAGGCCAACGGGTCATGGCGTGTGTGCATTGACTTTTCCGATCTTAACAAAGCGTGCCCAAAGGGCAGTTACCCGTTGCCACACATTGATCATATGGTAAACGCAACATTCGGCCATGAACTGACGAGCTTCATGGACACATATTCAGGATACAATCAGATCCTGATGGACCCGAATAATGAAGAACACACTTCTTTTTACTCGGACCGAGGGTTATATTGCTACAGAATGATGCCCTTTAGGTTGAAAAATGCGGGCGCGACTTACCAAAGACTGGTGAACAAAATGTCTTCCAGCATAATAGACGAAACTATGGAGGTATATGTTGATGACATATTAGTCAAGTCAGTATTCGCGACCGATCACGTAACCCACCTCAGTCAGATGTTTGTCGTCCTACGCAAATATTCGATGATGTTGAATCCAAAAAAGTTTGCGTTCGGTGTGAGCTCGAGGAAATTCCTTGGATATGTAGTCAGTCAGCTGGGGATCGAGGCTAACCTTGATAAGATCAAAGCGATCCTCGAGCTGAAATCACCGAGTTCGGTAAAAGGCGTTCAAAGTTTGATGGGGCGGCTGACAGCTCTGAACTGTTTTGTCTCGAAGCTAGCCGACCAATGCAAATCCTTTTTTGAGGCCATAAAGAAGGATAAGAAGTTCGAGTGGACGCCGAGATGCCAGGTAGCCTTTGAGGCAATCAAAGCGGCCCTAGTGTATCCCTCCATACTGCAGAAGCCTAAACCTTGCAAAACCTTATACCTCTACGTGGGAGTCTTTGAGTCGGCGGTGAGTGCCGCCCTAGTGCGGGAAGAAGAATCTCAACAATTTCCAGTTTACTACATAAGCAAGTCCTTGCACGACGCTGAGCTTAGATATTCCCCGATGGAGAGTTGTCTTACGTGCTAGTGACGACAGCCAGAAAATTGTGGCCCTATTTTCACGAACATTCAGTTATTGTGCTTACGGCATACCCTTTGAGGCAAGTTCTTCACAGGTCAGACGTCTTCGGACGAATGATCAAATGGGCTGTCGAACTCGGACAGTTCGATATCCACTACAAACCGAGAACAACGATCAAAGGCAGACCTTAGTTGATTTCATAGTAGAATTCACCTCGCCCCCGGAGCTCGTGACTGAAGAGAAGACATGGGCACTATATGTGGACGGGTCGTTCAATGCAAAACGAATCGGAGGAGGGGTCGTCTTAGTAAGTCCAGCCAAAAAGCTTTACTGCCATTCAGTGCGGTACTTGTTCGCCGCCACCAACAATGAGGCCGAATACGAAGCCTTACTATCTGGGTTATCCTTGGCCAAATCCATGGGATTAAAGAAATTGATCATCTAATCAGACTCACAGC